GCTGGGTTGGGGCAGGGTTTGGGTGGAGGGGGACAAAAAGGGAGAAAATGGGAAACATCTATAATATTACCAATAATAAAAACAAACAAACAAACAAACAGCCCTAGCTCAGTGGATAGAACGTCAGCCTGCAGACTTAAGCATCCCAGGTTCGATTCCAGTCAAGGGCACATGCCTGGGTTGTGGGCTCGATCCCCAATAGGGGGCGTGCAGGAGGCAGCAAATTAATGATTCTCTCTCATCATTGAAGTTTCTCTCTGTCCTCTCTTCTCTCTGAAATCAATAAAAATATATTTAAAACAAGCACAAACCTGTATCATAGTTTATAGGTTTTATTTTATTATTTTAATATTGTAAATTATTTTTAAAATATTGTATAATATTGTAAATAATGTTGTGGTAAATATGTTTGTGAATCAACTTACCCTCCTACCAAAGATGAGTTACATATCATTATTATTTTGTACGGAATAATTAGTAAAGTTTAAGTGTTTGTTTGCCATCTATATGTCTTCTCTTATGAAGTGCCCTTTCAGTCCCTTTGCCCCCTTATCATTCTGGGTTTCAGCTAAGTTTATCAGTCTGGATGAGCCTGTGACACAGAATGGCTGTTTGTTGTGATAACTGTTGGGACAATTTGTTTCATTTTCTTCCCCTTGACCAAGAAACAAACGTAGAATACAAGTTAGTGTGTTGGTTTGACCATTGTCACTTGAGAGCCATAGTATGACCAGGGCCTCAGGAGTGGAGGTGATCTCTGCTCCAAGGAGAAACGATTCCCAGGTCAGGAAACAGTGAAAATATTCTCATATGATTAATGTGAGGTAGCTTTCCCCCTCAGCATAAGCACTTCTAACTTTTTTATACTAATAAAGAAAAAGGGAGTGGTAGCTGAAACAAATGCAAACGCTGTATGGTTCCACTCTAAATTATGCTTTCATCAGGTTCGTGTTAAGAAGTAGTGACAATTTCCCGAGGCTATGGCTGAGAAACCATTATCATTCTGGCAAACGGATGCAGTGAAATACCGGCTGGGTCCATTACGTTACCTGGCTCTGCCGGATAAGAGGGCCTCGGCATTTTCAGGCTCAAAGCACCAGGACACCAGAGAAACGGGGTGAACCAGGGAACTTTCCCAAGCACTGATTTGCATTCCCGGCCCTGTCCTGAGTGTGAGCCATCCCTTGCCTACAGTAGCCAAGCCCAGAAACACTTGAGACAGGCTGAGTGAACAGGGAGATGGCTTTCTCTGACTTCTTGCTGTTGGCACCTTATTCACATAAGATGGCTAAAGGGGCTCTGTTTCTTCATGCTCTTTTGAATTCAAGAATGAAAATGAAGTTTAAAAATTGCCATGGTGCCTCGTACCTCTTTTCATAGAGGAAGGTTTATAGTTCCAATCTCCATCTCCCAAGCATAGTTGTACTTATATACTAAAATGTCTATCCTCATATGGAAACTCCATGGCATACAAATATCGATCACACACTTATTTACAACTTCCACTTTCCCGTTGGCCTAATACTTCTTTTTTATATATTTTTACTTTTTTAAAAAATATATTTTTATTGATTTCAGAGAGGGAGAGAGAGATAGAAACATCAATGATGAGAGAGAATCATTGATCGGCTGCCCCCTGCATGCCCCACACTGGGGATCCAGCCCGCAACCCAGGCAAATGCCTTGATCAGGAATCAAACCCTGACCTCCTGGTTCATATGTCGATGCTCAACCACTGAGCCACGCTGGCTAGACTATATATACATTTTTATTGATTTCAGTCCGCAGGTCGACGCTTTATCCGCTGAGCCAAACTAGCTAGGGCAGACCTAGACTATATATACATTTTTATTGATTTCAGTCCGCAGGCCGATGCTTTATCCACTGAGCCAAACTAGCTAGGGCAGGCCTAATACTTCTTTTTTTGTTGTTGTTTTTAAAATATATTTTATTCATTTTTTTACAGAGAGGAAGGGAGAGAGATAGTTAGAAACATCGATGAGAGAGAAACATCGATCAGCTGCCTCCTGCACATCTCCCACTGGGAATGTGCCCACAACCAAGGTACATGCCCTTGACCGGAATCGAACCTGGGACCTTTCAGTCCTCAAGGCCTAATACTTCTTGATATCAAGGCTCATCCTTTCCCACATTACTTGTACTGTGCAGCATATTCCGTGGGCAACAGCAAGTTACTGAGAGTTTTAGAGTAATGGGTGGCACATTCACAGCCATGTGACATGCCCTGGATGAACTTGGGGGAGGAACGCACGCTAGGACACCAGTGACCTCCTTCCTGTCGTAGTTACCAACAGTGAGATGGCTCTGACCTTTTTTCCTGAAACTCTCTTCCCAAGGCAGACCTTCTCTAGACTCCCAAAGTTTGTCCCACAGGGTAGCATCTTATCTTTAGAGAGAAATAAAATACTCCACTTCTGCATTTTTGTCTTGCCAGGCCTCCCCTTTCTCTGGCAGAAACTGGATTATTACCAGCTCCTGGCTTAAGTACTAACGGCAGCACTAAGCAATACCAGCCATAGTATCTATCAGAGTTTAAGGGCGAGGAGAGCAGTTTCCAGGAAACCTTGAGGTTTTCAGATTGTTCCCTGATGAAGTCCAGGGTCTGGAGGAAGCAAGGTCAAATATACTTAGGCAGTTAAAGAGAAAGAAAGCTCGTCTCCATGGCAAAGCCACCTTCAGCCACAGTTAAAAGCACACCCCAAAAGAAACAGTGAATCTTCTCCCTAGAAGAGTAACCCTGTCGTTGGTAGAGGAATTAGGCAAAATCAAACATGCCAAGAGAGTCTGAAGAGCAGTAGATTTCTCTTCCACATGCCAAGCATTTCTGAGCCATGACAAGACAAGCTGTCCATATCTATCTCATTCAACACTTCTGCACTGGCCCTGGCCGGGTAGCTGAGTTGGTTAGAGGATTGTCCTGATATGCCAAGGTTTGGGGTTCGATCCCTGGTCAGGGCATCAACCAATGAATGCATAAATAAGGGGAACAACAAGTCAATGTTTCTCTCTCCTTCCCTCTCTCTCCAATCAATCAATAAACAATAAATACATAAAATAAAACTTCTGTACTGGACAGGGAGCCAGGACTGGGATGGATGTACCTGGTGACTGACCAGAGAGTTGGCCTGACCCTGAGACCAGTGGCCAACAAGAAGCTTCTTAGTTCTCCTCCCAGGCAATCCCAGGTGCCCATCTTCCTGAGAAGCCATTGTTGGCGCACAAGTCCTCACTTTCCCTTCTTCCCAGAAGGATCCTGGCACAGCCCTGGAAAGAGGCTGGGAGAACGCACAGCTTTCTCTCATGATGAGGCTCCCACCAGCCTAGGAAAGACATGAGGGGCATGTGCCGTCAGTGAGGTCGGAGCAGCTCAAGAACCCAGGCTTCTGCACAGGGAAACAGAGTTCGCACTCCATCATCACGCTTCTGGGCTCAGCTCCTAACTCGTTTTAATCTCTCCGTCTCTCTTTTCTCACCTGCAAAAGGGAATATGGACCAGCCACCTCATAGGGTCACAGTGAGGATGAAAGAAAATGACTCTTGTGAACTGGCTGGCGGTAATGATCCCAGACCTGTTAGCTATTCTGGCTGCACATAACCCTTCCTCCTGCTTTGGGGGCAGGCACACGTCTATGCTTCCTGCCTGCTTCCCAGTAAGGAAATTACACCTCGACTATCTGAAGAATCTCCCAAACATCCCCCACCCGCTCGCGGTCCGTAGGCGTGGACTTAGGGGTGGGATGGCTCCCGCGTGCCTGGCGGTGACCCACCCTGCGGGGCGTGCCGACGGCGGAACCTCGTGCGCGCGTGCAGGTCCGCA